TGATGTCAATGCTCTAGTGTTGTGAATTGTTTCATTAACGTCAACTGCTTCTTCCACAACATCCCAATTCGTCTTTCTAAATTCTAATGGTAATCAAGTGTTTTGGTTCGATCCAACCAAATGCTAGTTACCACTTACCAGTATTTGTCACAATCATTTGCTCCATGTGGTAAGGCATATGTATTCTTTTGTATATCTAGAACCTCTAATTAATATATTAGGAAAGTTGGATTGTATAGCACGAGTTGTTTGAACCCTTACATTCCTTGAATGGGGATAAGTTTCAAAAAGTTTAATTCGAAGAATTTGTTATTGGGAAACCCCACAATAGCAATATTTCCATAATTAATTTTGTGTTGTACCCTTGCCGTACTTTTTCTTTATCAGTAATTACATTCTTATCATTCTTACATTTTCTTTATTCAGCTTTATTGAAAGATTGGGGTAAACAAAATGCATTAATATATAGATATTACATATATGTCGAAATCATGTCCTGGAATGTAGCTTAGAATAAGGCATTTCTTATACTACGTATGAAATTAGCCCAAGCTGTTGTGTTCATTGCTTAAGCATTATGGAATTTGATCTTAATATACTCTTATGCCACATTAAACTGTGTTGATTCACAAAAGATCAACATAGTAGCAATAGTAAGCCAATATGTTAGCTTGTGTTTTATATTCTGCGACGGAGTTTGTCATAAATCTTAATGAAATGTAATGCAATGTAATAAAATGATTTTCATTTTATTATAATGTTTTCAAACCAGAGGTAATCATGGCACTTTGTGGGGAAGAGGTCATTTCTTTTATGGAACTAGCTCTTCAACAAGCTAAGCTAGCGTTAGACAGCCTTGAAGTGCCGGTAGGTTGTATCATCGTTGAGGATGGTGAGGTCATTGCTTCGGGAAGGAACCGAACCACAGAGACTAGAAACGGCACTAGACATGCTGAGATGGAAGCCATTGATCATCTACTTGAGAAATGGAAGAAAAGTGGAGTTTCACCGGGTGAAGTTTATGAAAGATTTTCAAAATGTGTGCTTTACGTAACATGTGAACCATGTATAATGTGTGCAGCGGCCCTGTCTTACCTTGGCATTAAAAAAACTGTTTATGGATGCTCAAACGATAAATTTGGTGGTTGTGGATCAATATTGTCATTGCACGCCGGGGTTGGAGCTGCTAATAAGGGCTTTGAATGTGTTGGAGGTGTGATGGCATCTGAAGCAATATCTCTTCTGCGCAGCTTCTATGAACAGGGAAATCCAAACGCGCCCAAACCTCACAGACCGCTGAAACAAATGTACACATGATATGCAGCCTTTAGGCTGAGGAGGATTATCAGCCCCCTTCTATAGAAATTGTAATGAGTTCCTGATGGTTTCTTTCACTTGATCTTGAAAAGGCAATTATTCTCTTACCTCTGTTGTAAATATCCACATTATTAGACAACAAATATCCTATTACTCTCATTTGAGGCAATTGCTGTTTCTGAGTGCCGTATGATTAGATTTCGGGCACACTTGTCAATATAATTTGAAGAGGTAGTACAAAGTAGTGGTTAGACCGTTAGACTGTTAGAGAAACTATAAATGTTTCCTAGTAGTACTTTCATCTGAAATTGGGCATCTTTAATTTGGAGTAGCAGTAAATATCCTGGTAAGATCGGATAAGAGTGAGTTCCTTCGGGGACATCCAATAAAATTGAAACGATACAGAGAAGATTAACATGACCCCTACACAAGTATGACATGCACCTCGAGAAATGGTGATCCAATAAAAGTGATTCATATATTTTAACACAAGTGTTTGTTTTGCTTTGTGTTTTTTATTTGTCGTCATATATTAGAGTATAAATGTATAATACATGCATATGCAGATTAAAGTTATAAGTCGTTCACATCTTCATGGTTTTTCACGAATATTTTTGTTAAGGCTCAACAATGGTGGATTCATCGGTCTTAAAACAATCTTCTGCCTATGAACTTCAACTTACTCAACACATGGTATGAGACTTGACACGTTTCTTCACACTGAAGCTTAGTTTAGACAAGTCTAGTCATCTAATTCATTACGAAAATGCATCTATGACAAATGGTAGTGACGTAGTGATCCTAGTGGACCACATTCCCACGCTTAAGATTCTCCCATGTTGGAGGTCTTGAGTTTAAGTTACCAAGGTGAATATGGGACGATTTTTAGAAATAATGATCGTCTAACTCTTGGAGTTAGCTTGACTAGTTGCGTGATAAATGCTAGTCCAACAATCAGTGGCAATTCTCTCAAAAGTAGTGTTGGACCCGGTTCGGGCCACCCGGCCCAGGAACCGGCCCAGCCTGGAACTGTGCGGGCCCGGTGTACTGGTTTCCAATCCGGGCCTACACCCGGTCCCGGGGGTTAGGGCAGGGCGGTCCCGGTTCAATCCCTTCTTTGGAACCGGCCCCTTAATATTTTTTTTTTTTGTTTTTTCATTGTTTTGGGCTTGTTCCTAAGTTGGGCTGAGCGTTTTGTGTGTGTGTGTGTGGGGGGGGGGGGGGGGGGGGATTAATAAGGAAAGAAAAAAACACTTTTGGAACCGGCCCAGACCCGGTGGTAACCCGGGCAGCGCCGGGCTGGTCCCGGGCCTTCTACCGAAAATTAAAATCCCGGCCGGGCCTAGGCCCGACCCAGCTCGAGTCCATGACTACTCAAAAGTTGTGCTAGAAATTTGAGGATACCTGAAGTCAATCACTTATGAGAGATTTTTTATGTGTGATAATGTAAAGATAGGCATTGGGAATCTAAAGGATTGTTCGAGCGACTTTCCAGATTTGTCGCCCAAGATTAGTCTGGCGAGGACAGAATCACTGGGTGTTAACAACAAATGAAAATACAACTATGAAAATGTCTAAGTTGCAATCATTTTGGCTTTGTGTTAATATTTCATTCCAGGCCAAGATTGGAATCAGATACAGGGAAATGTACCAGCAAATTGCAAATTAAAGGGGTTCATTCCTTTGAAGGTGAAATTATTTCTTTCAAAATGAAGCTACAATGGTTCATTTTATTTATTCATTAGAACACCTAACTCAAGTAACATTTCACGAACATATATTCAGAGTCCATACCAATTAATTAACTTCGCTGTAACTTTCTGTTATGTGTGACGATGTACATTGTCTGGTTCACTTTGTATATTATCTTATTCATTACATAGTATGATAGTAGCAGCGGATCACTCCATCCTTTGGCCTCTTTCACCTTGCTAACGGCTCTTTAGCCCTCGTCTTCGCATAAAAATTGCTCGAATTTTTAATATTGCGTCTGGCTTTAATTGAGATACTTTTCCATTAACATTGACCCATATTTCTTTGATGATCACAGACATTTGCTCATCGGATATCTCCCTAACATTTGTTTTTCCTTGCCCCCAAGGCATTTATATACATTCTTAAGATAAACATGGTGTTTTTTTTAAATGAAATAAACATGGTGTTTTTAGACCCTCAAAATAGGCATGTACAAGTTTATATTATCGTGAAAATAATACACATTCAACTAGTAAAGAGTATTCGGTCAAAAAAAACTAGTAAAGAGTATTTTCACCTCTCCTTTCAAAAGAGTATTTTTTTCTACATTGAATACAAAATAACTAAAACTTTCTATCATTTGCAATGGAGCAAACATTCACTATTTTTTGGCTTAGGAATAATGGAAAATGATGGAATAAAGCAAAATGGCTCACTAAACTGTCTGCAATTTTAGACGTAATTTCCACTATGGGTAATCTGGAACCGTCTATGTAGCACCGATACGGTACACGGAAACGAGTACGGAGATACGACAAAACCAAAAAAAAGTAGGATACAGATACGAGGCCATATTTATAAATATTAAAAGTTATGGGGGTGTATTTATAAATATTCAAAGTTACAGAGGTGTATTTATAAATTTTAAAAATAGATTTATTTTTTGAAAAAATAGACTATATGATCCTCTGACGTCTACTCATTCATGGCATTGAAGCATTCTACATTTCCAAAATACTTATAAATAAGTTCATATTTCATCTCACATACACTAATGTACCTCGAATTATAAATATAGTCAATAAGTCATTGATTAAAAATGAGAAATAAGTTAAACAACGACAAATTTGAAATTAAAAGTGCAAGTACTCCAAGTTCTAGAATTATGAAGATAGAAAACAATATTTTAAAAGTTGCAATACATATTTCCGTTTGAGGGGGTATTAATTTCCAGTGATAATTAGAATTCGGGATAGGAAAATGGGTGACATAGGAATATGCCCATTAGTTATGTATCACATAAAAGCAAGGTAAAAATTATTTTTAGTTTTTCATTTTTTAAGAATTTTATTATGTAAATTTTGAGTGTTTTTTTAAAAAGTTTTTTTTGAAAGAATTTTTTTTTAAAAAAAATTTATACGGGTATCCGTCAGGATACAAGTATCCGAAATTTTAAAATAATTACCAAAACATGAAAACTTTTAAAAATTGCAGATATGGCCCGGGAACGTACGATACGAGTATCCTAGAGTATCGGATACGGGAACGTTTCCGATACGCCGATACGGCACCCTAGTGAAGTATCCGTGCTTCATAGGGAACCGTCTCTTTGTGTAGTAGTACAGGGGTAAAAATGCGTACATCCGACCTCCTTTACCCCATCATAGGTGGAAGCCTTTGCGGCACTGGAGTAATGATGATGAATGATGAATAAAAAAATAACTAAAACATGCCGCCATAAAAGGTCGTGAAAAAAGGGAGTTTATTGATTGAGTTTTGTTCACTCTGTACACGTACACTCAGCACATCCTCGAAGATGGTTTTATACTCTAAAAATGAGTTAATAAAGCTATCAACGAATTGGAAACAATTTCTTTTGTTTCGTATTTTTCTTTGTTTTGATAGGGGGGAGGGTATCGTTTTATTTATTCCTAGTGTTACATGAGAAGTTGAGAACACATGTATGGATGAGAGGGCCACATGGTATTTGGAGTTTCATGATTGCAAAATATCACCAACTCACAAAGTACAAGAAGTCAAGAACACCAGTTTGAAATAAAGTCAATCACAAAACTATTGTTATGTTACTCAAAAATAAAGTTGGTTTCATACACCTATGGCATCAATGGCTGCTTCCGCCATCGGCCATCCTACCTCTGCTCTGGAACTCTGGAAGTCATTTTCTTTTTTAATTTATATAATTTTTTTCCAATTTCATAGACATGGTATGTAGGTATGTTTATGATGTTACTCACTGCGTAGTCAAAATTAGAGCAATGTACTCAATTTTATGGTTTCTAACACTAATAGTAGCTAGATAGTTAGTAAATGATGATGATGATGATGATGCCCCTTCACTTTGATTTGCAAAGACAGGGAGAATAACTAACCCATACTCAGATTGAAGCTAAGATATCTTTGTATGTGCACAAAAAAGAGAAGCTTCGTTCTTGACGAACTAAAGAATGTGTTAATAGCCGTAGAGCATGAAACAGAGGATCCATCTTGGAGAGCAGTGTCATGTTTCCTACACTGGCTCCTTTCCTTCTCCACATTCAACGCAAGCACATAAAGCCTTCCAAATAGGAACCAAAATTTTTGCAGAAGGCCGTAACACCTATAGATTGAATTTAAAAAACTGTGTCAAATTATTATGGGTATAGGGTGTAGTGCCTGTTTGGTATTGGGACTTTTACTGCTTATAACAGTTTCTATGGAACAATAAATGTACACACTGTCCCCAAAAGGAAAAGAGTTCCAGGCATGTTTTTATCCCCAAAAACTTGTCATATCAAGCAACCAAAAGGAGAAAATTTGCATTAAATTTTATGTAGCCCCACCCCCCATGTTTGAAACAAGTAAATATGTAGTATGCTAAATTTAGTGTTCCTTCAAAAAAAGGTTACATTGAGTTGAAAAATATAAAATGTTAACAAAACCCCATGTTTGAAACAAGTAAATATGTAGTATGCTAAATTTAGTGTTCCTTCAAAAAAAGGTTACATTGAGTTGAAAAATATAAAATGTTAACAAAACCCTTCTACTATTTCAAATTCATCAGTTATGCCCACATGCTAAAAAAAAGTCATATAAGCTTACTTGGAAAACAATCATCCCGTCATTTCAAGATTTATCAATTTTCTTAATTTTTTTCAAAAGGCGACCTGCTATGGTAGATCAATAACTAGTAAAATGAATGGATTGATTATATTTCATAGTAAATGTGCTTATGTAATACTCCATCTTTAGTACGGAAGCATTTTAGTAAATGTGCTCATGTAATGCTCCGTACTTCCTTAGTACAAAAGCACTTTAGTATAGAAACATAAGTGATGGGGGATTTGAAATTGTAGAATGGTCTACTTGACCTTTTCCCAAAAACTGGTGACTCTTGGATTAACAAGGGTTATTCCTTGACCAAAATTAAAAAGTCTGACTTTGACGAAGACAGGATCTTTTTGTGGAGAGGGAATTATACAAAGGTTATTTTTTCTCTGAACAGTTAAAAGAAGATACTTAACCGTTATCAGCAACATCAGCCCAACTTTACTCTTACCAAACAGACTCTAATTTGCTACAATAGTAAGGATGTGCAAAGGATGAGAAATGCTTAACCTTGAAAACTAAAAGAAGATCCTCTTCTCCATGAATAATCAGAGAGAGGGTCCAGTAACAAGTAATGGGGGTCACACATTCATTCAGCACAGGTTTCATGATCTTGCAAGTAGGAACAAAGCGTCGAACGATTCTCCCGCTGTTGTAGAAGTACCAGATGAGCAATACGGTATGAAACTATGAACCCATAATACCTTAACACAAGAAGAGGTGGGGGGGGTTATGTATGGCAGAGCCTTTAAGTACCTTTGGTACTGAGTCTCAATCTGAACTCCAAAAGCAGGAAAAATTATCACAGACTCTGTGACGCACAAACCAAAAAAGTAAGTGACAAAACACATGAGAAGAAAAGTACTCCTCCCATTTAAAAAAAAGTCGGTTTCATCAAGGTACAAGTTTTTATTCCATACATAAAAAATATGGCAACCAAAGTAGTTAAATGAAAATATGGGATCTTAAAGGGAATATCAAAGCAATAAACCATTGACCAAGAAATCATGTATTCGTCGAATGTTGCTATTTTCTCCTAAGTTGTGAAACACCCCTTGAGGCCTTGATGTGAAAAAACATCAAAGAGCTGTGCATTAAATGCACAGCCAATACATTACCATTGGAATTTCTTATGTAAAAAAAATCTACTTCCCGGGCAATAACATAACAATTTGCTATTACGCTTTATAACTATACACATACTACAGCATTTCTATAATTTTAAGTAAATTTAGCTTTTAAAAGTCATCATTATCAATCTTAATGTATACTTGAACTCTGATATCGTATGACGATTTCCCAAACTCTATTGGGAATAAGGCTTGGATGATGTTGTAGTCGTAGTAGATGTATTGGTTACTTTAACTAAAATCTCATTTTTAATTTGTTCTGGACCCCTTTTTGGTAATGAATTACAAAATAATTAGCTATGCTTTGAAACATACTCTCTTTTCTTGACGATCATCCTCAAACCAAAAAACAGATACTGTAATCAAAGATTTATCTCCTCACCTCTGACAACTAGCTTTCGATAAATCCAGATGAGCGATGCCACAACAAGAAAGCTGTAAAGAAGAGCAGCACTAGACCTGACCTGCTATCTCGCACACATAATCACTCTGTAATCACGACCCTTTACTCAATTGAAGCAAATGAGGTGAAATGTCCAAAGATCTAAATCTACAGCTTTAAGATGCCTATGTATCATAGTTATGAACAGTCACAGAAATACAAATTTAATATGGCACAATAATGCTCCCTTTGCCCTTTGGTAGCCAATGTGGTTTACTCTGCTCACGAGCAGAATAAGTAGCTTTTGACTTGCACTTTAATTTGGCATGATGTTAACAGAGACTTTTCTTTTCAGAGAGCACAACAGATTTATCCACTTTAGCAGAATAATTCTTAACAGGCCCTGAAAACTTAATATGGATATACTAGATAAATACATTATACCAGCACAATTAATAATGAACTAACCACTTAATCTCAAATGATCATCAAATAGGAACAGTAAATCCTTGAATATAAAGCGAGTATATACCAGTACAAATAGAGAGCAGATGTAGGCTGAGAGGAGGAGAAATGTGAGTAAAATTGAAGCATTGGGTAAAGCATTTCTTGGAAGCATGACATGGTGGACATCTATGGCTTCAGTGGGCCCTTTACCAACATCATGTACATAATTGTATCTCCCAATCGTAATACTGCTACTCCTTCCTCCTTCCATTTTCTCTGCAAATTGACAAAGGTTAGGGTTTTTAAACATTGACTACTCCAAAGCAATGTTTGGTGGTATCCGTGAACTTTTAATCTTCCCTGCAATGTAGATACTAGATAGTGCCAGATCTTATACTTCTCTTTTGCGAGAATTTCATACTATGGTGAAATTAATTGAATTTCACCAAAACTAAACTAATAGTGCGCAATTAATTTACTCTCACCATTTACGATCGCTCATGTGACCAGCTTACCTGTGTACTTATATTAATAGTACGCGTGTTATAATAATTTCATACCGCCTACAAAAGAACTTCCACAACAAATCCTCATTCAGTCATTTATAAAAGATGTTGATTAGGTTAAAGAATAAGGTGTAAAATTCAATCAAGATTTCAGATTAGGTTTTAAAAGTCATAATGAGGGAGGTAATTAGATAGATAGGCTGAAAATTTTAGCATTCAAACACCTACCTGAATTCGTCGGCCGGGAGTCCCAAGATAACGGAGAAGGCGATGAGAGAGGACTCAGTCGGCTTGGTCGCAAGGACTGAGGAGCCGACTCAGCCGAGGTCCCAACATCCAACGAGCGTGTGGCCGCGCTGCAACGGTGCCAACGGTACCGCGCTGAGCCGGAGAAGCGAGCGACTTAATTTGTGAAAGAGATTTGATTTGTGACCATCTGATTAAATGTTCTAAAAATGTTTTTACTCCGTATTTGTTTTGAATTACAATTATCTTTTCTGAAGTTATAATTTTTGAGTAAATGAACAAACACTGAGAAGCAATAGAGTTATGGAGGTTTAGTCAATGTTCTAAAAGACGTAAGGCGTGTCGAGGCGGCACGGTCAAGCCTTAAGCCTTTGAAGCCTAGGTGGGTTTAGGCGGGACTTAGGCGTGAAAAGGCGTTTTAAGTTTTTATCCTTTATTTCAAATATCCTAGAGCTATTTTTAAATATTTAAGTTTAATTTATAAACAATAGTATTAGAAAACATCATACTTTTATCATTATACGTAGTAAAAAAAAAGATTTGTTGAGTCCTAAGTGGCTAAGTCTAACAAAGACGGAGTACACATTTACCAATTACACTATGATTGGGACTACAAAAACTAGTTTAATGATACAATATTAATATTAGTAGAAAGAAATAATACCCAATATATGACAAAAAAAATTAGTAGACAAAAATGTGACTTAGTAGCTTCTAATGACAGTAGAAATATACTTACTCTCACTCTAGTCAAAGTTGTATCCATAAATTCTACTACGTATTATTTTAATATGTAAAAATACCTTTAATATGATAGCAATAAAGCACAACAACAACAATATTAATAACAATAATGAAATAATAATACTAATACCAAAAATAGTAATAATAACTAGAACTCGAAATAACATCAATATTCATAATAATAAAAAATAATAATAGTACAAATGTTCAATAATTAAATGAAGGTGAGTTTGAGGTATCAAATACGGAGTATTTGCTATCGTATATGGCTATATTTTTGCATAATGATATAGATAATATAATACGGAGTAGTACGTATTATAATGATAATACAGAAATAAGGCTTACTAGTCATCATAATCGAATCACCTATACGAAGTACACATGGTATAGAAAAATCATATACAGAGTAATACGGAGTATGAGTAATGAGTACAGGTGGGTGAAATTAAGAATTCGCAACATTTCGCTTATTCCACGTTTTTAGTCTCCCACTTTAGTTTCCCATAGTTAGTTTTCCCACACCGGAACTTGAAGAAGAATTCCTCCATCCCACCCCTATTATAAACTGACTAGTGCGCTTAAGTGTTTAATGTACTCGCCTCCGCGTTGTTCATGAGCCAGTTGGCCCAATAACTCTTTTTGTTGGGCTAGAAGCTTAAGTTAACAAATATTTCAGCTAGTAATGACTTTCCCACGCCTTTGACCGCGCATTGAAGCTGTGCGAGGCGTTAAGTGTGCGCCCAGCGCCTAGGCACGCCTATGCGGCGCCTTTTAGAACACTGGGTTTAGTGGATGGCTTAAATCCCTACTAGGATGAGTGAGAAATTCTCTTGTAGATTCAAGTAGATTTCTTGGTTAATTGTGATACTCATTGTTTTTTCATCAAACCTTTCCAATACTTTAATTGTGTTAAAAATTGAACATAAATTACTATGATTTCATTAGTACTTTAGTAATTAATTAAATTTTTGTAAACTGTCTCTATTTTGATGATATTTATTATGTAATTATTTCTACTTATTTTCAGCCCATTTGAACCCAAGTATGAAATTTAATAAAATAGATGAGACAATATTTAGCTTAGAAACCAACCTAGCCCAATTTCGACCCAGCCCAACTTATTCCATCTAATTCGTTCAGCCCATTTATTCGTACTAAATACAGTATACCCATACGTATTAAATACCGACCTACCCCCAAACCCTAACAATATATAAGCTTCGATTATAGCTATATGTATACTTCAACCGAGATTTGTCTAAGACCCATCGGTTAAATGATGGTCTCCTCATCTCTCTTCCTCTATCTGTCTTCTACGCTCTGTGTGTCTATCTTCCTCTATCTTTCCTCTACACTCTGTGTATCTCTCTTCTATGTTATGTACATCTATCATCTATTCGTTGTTCATTGACATTCAATTGTGGATGTGTTCGTTAACATGTCAACGAATCGAAGGATTGTAGTCCATTTTCGATTCAATGAATGATATAAGCTATTCTTTATAAAATTTTATGTAAATTTGTTTTCGTTTTCGGTATTTCTCTAATGTTGATTTTGATGATTTGTAAAAACCTACACTTCACGTGATAACAAAATAGGAAAATAAAAAAAATTGAAACCCTTACCCAAATTCAACCAATGTTAAAAAAGAATAACCAAATGAATCAACAATAATGACATTTCTAACTAATAATGGTAAATTGCAATTATTGTCGAACTAAATTCCTCCGAGGAGTCCAAATCTAAATGGGCATCTGAAGACGAGCTAAGCATATTTGGAAACCCTTCGTATCTCATCAGCTTAGACTTTCCATCTCCCATTATAACTTGCATCTTGAAGTGCCGAAATCTCCATGACCAAATCTGATTCCGCATGAAACTCAACAAAACCCCGCATTGTTACTTTGATGGTCGCATGATGTATAACTTTAATATAATATCAGCTTCAAAGACCGAATCCGTTGTGATAGACAAGCATATAGCGAAGTTCAAATCTCCAGCTCTGTTGCGCAGAGTCGCTCCCCCTTTTGAAGAGTCGGGTAAGAATGGCGCATCTACGTTCAACCAATATTGAATGTTTGGTCTAGACCACTTAATTATTTTGATTTTTGGATTAGCGGATGCAAAACCTTCGTGAATAATGTTTTCTAACTTCAATAGCTCAAAGCAGCAGACAATGTTTTCCACAAAAATGTTTTTCCTGTACCTCCGTAACCATATACAAAGAAAACCCCGCCTTTGTTTTCGTGAACTGATTCCATAATCGTTGTGTACACATGACGTTGCTGATCATTCAGACTATCAATGCATTTCGCATGCCCTTGACATAACGCATCACGATCATATTGCAATTTGTCGAATATAAGACTGTTCTGAGTCATGGATGATTGACTTATATTAGGGAATGACATTGATGGATAGTCCTTTAAGCTCTTGCCATTCCTCTTCAACATCAGCTCTATTTCTATAAGTGCATAGTTCTTAATCTCATCCTCTGTTAACATTAAATAAAAAATAAAGGATTGAAAAACAACATCAGCATAAGAAAGATATGTATATTATTATTCAAAGGAATTTGAATCATGAAAAGCATAGTAGTATTGTTTTGTACCGGGATGGAGTAATGTTGTTCTCTGCCTGTGTAAAATGTCATCTGAGATGAATGTCCAACATTTTTCCCAAACGCATGTTGGTCTACTCATCGTATCTGCTATCAATAATATGACAAACAACTTTCTGAGCACCCATGCTGAAGCCCAAAAACTCCCCTCAGAAATTCCTTCAACGTACTCTTTTTCATCATCTAACAATCACATTGTGTAACATGCCTCACGATATGTCTCATAACAAATCCCATCCACAATTCTTAGATCATCATAACATGTAGGCCCACGCTTCAAATTTAGGACACAACGTAAATAATAAAATTCCACTGAACCTGGAGGGACATAAGTTAGTCGACCTATAGCAAAACCCTTTTTGCAAGGTACAAATTCTCTTGTTGTAGCCTTCCAAACAAACCTTTGAGGAAATTCAGCATAAGTTAAATCCCCTGCCTCCTTTGGGTACTGCTCATTCGTCCTCATCCATGCCCAAAACATACTCACTTACCGATGCATTGTCTTCAAAGTAAACATATTGCTCGTCAGGAAAGTGAAAGCTCAATCGTTCAACAGATGTATTCTTATATTGAATCTCGAACCCTAGTATTCTCCACATAGCCTCACATGGAGATATATACCTACAATCATAGTAGAGTTTTATTTCATCCCTGGGTTTCTTGTTGTCATTTGTATTTGAAGTTTCATAAAATCCTGTTGTCACGCGATCATGTCAAAATAAGTTTCATAAAATCCCGCTGTATATATACAGATCATGGATTGATTAAAGATCCTGTTGGTACTTTTTCACCATATACCTTGCTCCTTCAACAAATGTAGGTGGTAAAACAACTCTTTTTCCTTGTGTAGAAGCATCTGGCTCACCACTAAGCAAAGCATCAGAAAGTCCTTAGTACATTTCACACATCAATTGTATTTTATGTGTTCCGATGTACATTAGTCTTGAAGATTCAACCATTTTATATCCATCAACGACAAATTGTTGGAATAACCTTCTGCCCTGGAGGATGAAAATGCATTCCGTGCTTCGCTCATGCAATCTATATGCCGAAAATTCTTTAATGCTAACACTTCGGCGACCCTTTGTACAAGAACTATTACCGTCACAAAAAATTAATATCCTCCCTATAACCATCTTCACCGGATGAAAAGAGAAGTGGATATTACAACCCCAAATATGTAGGATTCAACTCATTTATATGCTTTAGAAAACCTCCCTGGGTTTCAAGCATTATATCTCTTTGCCTGAGTGATTCATCAAAATCTCCCACAACCAAAGCTACTACTTCTGAATAGTTGGTAGATTATAAGTTCTGGCATCTTTGTTTCTTCTACCTATTAACTTTAAACTCACTTTTGCCTGCCACCTTCAGCAATCTTGTCTCTAAGCATCCTAAATGACTTGACCAAAACATTATGTTCATCTAGCATTCCCCTTAAAGTAGACACGATCCCTAGGTGCATTTTTTTTGCTATCGCCTCTCACAGAAGTCATGCAGTTAAGATCCTCGTGTTGTGTGTCACATATATATAGTTGGGAAAATTTTGGCACACTTCCTTCTTGTGGCAACAAAGATCCTATTAGATGATAATTTTGACCACCAAGTTTAAAAATTGGCGGTGACCCACCCCTGTTAACCGTGTTATCTATCCTCCCACCCATCGACGTGAATGAAAACATACTATTATATGATTTAATATTATCTTGGAAGTGTTTACTCCTGGGATCTGTCCCATTAATCAAATCATATAGTTGAGGTGGGGGGTCCTTTAGTTTTGGAAATACATTTTTTCCTTGCATGCAACAGAGAGAGTACTTAGGGTTGGTTTTTGTAGAACTTCGAAGTGTCCTCTCCTCAAACCAAAAGAGTGCTC